AACTCTCCCAGGTTCTTCACTGGCACGGACTTGTCAAGGTCGGCGCCAAACTTGTCACATCTCTCCCTATCTCCCACAGCAAAAATGTCATCTGCATGTACTACCAAAATTAAAACACACCCATTTTCAATCAAACGAAACACACAAGCATCGGCCATGCACTGCTCAAAACCTAACTCTACCAAAAACCTCTTCAGCATTGCATGCCACTGCCTAGATGCCTGTCTCAAGCCATGCAGACTCTTGCCTAGTTTTACAATCATTCCAGATAGAGCTCCACATCTCTGCGGCAAACGCATGTACACGTCTTCCTCCAACTCCGAACGCACAAAAGCTTGCTCAATATCGAAACGACTTAAGTCGAGGTTCAACTCGCACGCCAAAGCAGCCAACATCCTAACACACGAAACAGAAACGGTAGGCGCGTACAACTCTCCAAAGTCAATGTACCCTCTCTGCATATCACCTCCCGCTACAAGTCTCGACTTAACCTTAGTGGGCCATCCAAACTCATCTGCCTTCCAATCGAATACCCACTTAGCGTTGATTGCGTTCTCCACTAATTGCTACTTCGCCGGAGTAAGACTCCTCGCTTCCAACAAGCCATAAAACTCCCCTTGCATAGAGTAGCTCCGAAGGCGCCGGTGCTCCGACGCCATGGCCTCTTTGTAGCTCTTAGGGACACGAAGGTCGCTGGCCTGGCAGTGAGGAAGGTCAGGGCGTTGCTCCGGCGGGCGCTGGTCTCGCAGCGTGGCGTCGATGTCTTCCCGGGTGGCGAGGAGCGTGGCAAATGCGAGTGGAAAGCCCGCTCCTCCAGCCCCCGGGTCCACAGCTGCGAGTGCTCCCGCCTGTCCTCCGGTCCGCTCCCCCCGGCTCTCCGGCCTCCGGCCCCCCCAGCTCCCTGGGCTCCTCGTCCACCGCGCCCCGAGCCTCCAGCATCGACACCAGAGTATTCTTATCTAGCATCGAGATGAGTCCTGTGCTGTGCCTTGTGCCCGATCTCGTACGGCTTGGCAGCCGCGGGTCTGTCATACCCTCGGCCTTTGTACCCGGGCGAAGCTGCCGCATGGCGTGAGCCGTACGCGGGGGCATCGCGGGGTCCGGCGGCGGCGGCGGCTGGTCTGGATCTGGGGTCGCCGACGGTGACAGCGAAGAGGCAGAGGACGGCTGGCCAGGAGCGGGGGTCGCCGACGATGACGGCGAAGTGGCAGAGGGCGGTTGTGAAGGCGTGAGAGCGGGCGGCGGCGTGGTCGCTGGCGGCGGCATTCCGGCAGGGGGCGAAGCGGCAGCGGGAGCGGGGGCGGGCGACGGCGTGGGCGCTGGCGGCGACAGTGCTGCGGTCGAAGGCGTCGGTGCTGGGCCAAAGTTGATCGAGACGACCGGCGGCGTGAACGGGGGGGGTGTCGGCGCAGCGGTGATACCAGCGGAACCCCCCTCACCGGTTGGCGCCGACGTCACCCACGACACGTTGTTGGTATAGACGATGCGGCCGGTGGACGCCTTGAGGACCTTGACGGTGCCGCTCGGGTGGTTGTCGCCGCCGTTGAGGTTATAGCAGAGCGTGGCCTGGTCGTCGAGCTTGGTGCGGCGATCCTCACGCATGAAGCCGGGCTGGAAGAACGGCAGCACGCGGAAAGGCCCCTGCTCGCCGGTGAACATCTCGTGCGGCGAGCGCCGCCCGGGGTTGGCCTTGGTCGCCGATTGGTTGAGAGCGTCGGCGGCCCATTTCGCCGATTCCATCCAAAGACGGTCACCGCGCTCGTCGATGCCGGGGATGGAGGCGAAGTCGACGTTGAGCACACGGGCGGCGCTGCGGCGAGCGGCCATGCCGGCCTTCATGATGCGCCAGATGGCGCTCTCGACGACGCCGTTGTACTGTGGAACGCCAGGAGGTGTGACCTCGACGCCGCTGCCGTTGTCATCGCAGAAGCGACGGAAGCCACGGGTCCACTCGGTGCCGTTATCGACGCGGAAACACTCGACGCGCCCGAGGTCGTACCGCCCCACGTCCGCCAGCAGCCTTTTCGTTGCCGCCAGCGCGTCGGACTTCCGCCGGAGACCGTAGACTTTGTTCCACCGCGAGGCGCTGTCCACGGCGACGTACAGGTAGAGGTTGCCGCCCAGAGAAGGCATCAGCGGCCCACACAGGTCCAGGAGAACACGCCCCAGTGGCTTGGACGCCCGCGCTCCCGGCCCCCGCGGCACCGACCCTCGCCTGCCCTTCGCCTTCATGCAGTCCGTGCACGGTTCCAGCTTGCCGGTGAGCACGATGCCTCTCTGCTGGGCAGTTTCTCTCAAAAGAGGCTC